GTTAATTAAGTCACTACAATACACACAATAAGCTTTGCCTGCTACGTCAAAGCTTATTGTCCAAGAGCTTCTGTAACTTCGTCGAACTTGGAACCAATTTTAACCTTTACAGTGACTTTTCTGTCAAGCCAGTCCAATCGGAATTTATTCTTGACATTTGAGTCAATTTCTAGGATTAAAGACTCCTGATCTTTCGTCAAAAATTTCATAATTCCGCTCAAAACGATCCCAGAACAATGAATTTGCGAGACGAACAGGCCGCCATGAATCAGGTAAAACAATATGTTACATGCAATTTGATTGGTCCAATCGCTTGTAGTTAACCAATCGCTGGGCCGTTTATAATCGAGCTAAGACTTCCGCAACAAATAATGCCTTCAGTGATCTGATTAGTTGAAGCTTTCATACACGTCCAATCGCAGGGCTGTTTACAAAGGGAAAACGGAGAGACTGTTCGGGAGAGCTCGTGAAAACTCGACGATAAGGTACCTCACCGCCCCTAAAATTTTCTCAACGGATTTAGACGATTCACAAAAATGATCAATTTAAGAAATAAAACGGCGGATTTCCGCGGATCCGCGGAAAATTGCCATGTATGAGATAATTATTTGTTCTTTCTGTCACTATAAGTTGCTGGCATAGATAAAGGGAAAAAAATTCATTCTTTGTCATTAATAAATATTTTTCTCACCGATTAAGTGAAATGTGATCATTTCCAATGGCACACCATTACAGCTCTCATAGCACACTAATGTGCCCTGGCACGCTGTTTGGGAATCACTGTTCCAACCAAATTAAGTCAGACTTTCATGCAACGACTGAAGCATACACACATTGTTGTTCTGGTGGTCCGCGGACCATGCTTCAAAACTACTATAACAATGGTTCTTAACTGTTGTCAACCTGGGACACGTATTTTCCTTTGGTTGTAAAGCGTCGACCCATTTTTATAGATGTTAAGAACAATAAGGAGTGGGTGGTACCAATGATCTTATCCGCAGTCCTAACTGTCCATTGCTTTACTTTTTTTTGTGGTTCTTGGTGACAGCACCAAACCAGACTGATTTGATAAAGGTGTTTCCTGAAAGACCCGTCATTTCCATGAAGGTCTCGACGGCTGACACGGTGGCAGTTGGGCTACAGTCTTGAGCATGTTCAGCTCATGATTGTGTTGGCCACATGAGAGCACCAGTCCCTCAACACTCGATACCCATATGCAGACACCACCTTTGCTGAAGCAGATTACTGCAGTGCCATCTGCAACCTTCAGGACTTTGACAGCACGGTGTGTTCAGGTGCAGTTAATTTCTTCTCTATATATAAACAGCAGACGTAAGAACTCTTTACAAAATACTTACAGAACTGATTGCCTCACTGCATGCCCAAGTCATCACTGTAGAGATGAGGATAAAACACTTTGGTCGCTGAAAATGTGTTTTATTATCATAGAGAGCTGCAAATACACAAAACAGAAAACAGCTATTGTAAAATTTTGCTTAACTTTACTTAGAGTTGTGCAATCAGGTGTACCAATTGCATTTCATTAGCCACATAGCATATTTTTGGTTAAATTGTGATATCTACTTAACTTGACACTCCTTTACACTGCTGCATCATCATGCCTTGTCCTTGGCCAATCACAACACGTATTAGAATTCCAAAACACTATCTGCTTAAGTCAACTCTTTGGCAATTTTGATGATACAAACAAATAAGCAGAAATTATGAGAAGGAGAGCTCAGTTGTCCACAAGGGAACCAGTAGCTCTTCTCTTTGATTCATTTTCATCTGGTAAGAGTCCATGTTTCTTAATTTTTTCCAAGACACTATACATGATTTCACTCAATTAAATGGATTGTGAACTACGTATTTAAACTTTAAACCACATTTTTTCCCGGCAAGTAGCTAGCGAAGATTAGGATACACTGCTTATATTTTTCTTAAGGGAAAGATCTGGCCGGGATGGCCTAATTTATATTTAAAAAAAAAAAATATGTATATATATATATATA